CAACAAATAGGAGCTTGGGGTTAGGTAGCAAGTGTCACTTCATGCAGGTCATGTTGAAAGAACCAAGAACACCTTTCACTACCAAAGGAAGCAAAGCTCAGGTCAAGGGACCATCTTTTTATATTTTTAAATATATTTTTATTGATTTCAGAGAAAGGAAGGGAGAAGGAGAGAGAAACATCAATGATGAGACAGAATCATTGATCAGCTGTCTCCTGCACACCTCCTCCTGAGGATTGAGCCTGAAACCCAGGCATATGCCCTGACCAGGAATCACACCCTGACCTCCTGGTTCATAGGTCAACCATTGGACTCAAGGAACCGTCTTGATTCCCTCAGCAAGCGGGTGTAGCTGGACAAGGGAAGAGGGTCCTACCATAGTCCTTGACCTGGTTTCCCAGGTGAGGAAGTCAGTGAACAGGTGGAAGAAGGATGTTCACTAATGTTTGAAGATACCATCCAGGCTTGAAAATTCCTTGAAGGCTCATGTTCTGCCTTTTACGCTATTGTACTTTTTCAGATCATAAAGCAGGGTCCTTGAAACATAATATTTGCAAGTCCTGTTGGCTGGCAGACTCAGCTTGAAAAGCATCTTTCCTTTCTTCTACCTGTTTGGACAGAACAAGTTAAACACAACTGAGTCTATCTAATCTTTCACATTCTGGGTGTTATGTCAAATCTCTCTTATCAGGTGTCTTAAACTGAGAGATTTCATTTTGTTTGCTTTCTGGACCTCAAAGTCACGATCCCTGAAGGTCAGCAATGAGAGGCCCGAAATGCTCGTCTGGATCCTGATGGGAGATACCCAGCTCAGCAAGACATTGCCTCTCAGGATATTTCTGTGGAAACCAATGGCTACATTTAAACAAAAAAAGACATCCTTCAATGGCTGGCGTTCTGAAACCTGAGCAACACTTACAATAAGGAGATGGTGATTTAAAAGGCTAATCACCTCCCAGAACTGCAGTTGCCTCCAGCACACTTCTACAAATTGCTCTGGATCCAACAGCCTGCACTGCTTAAGCTGAGTCATTGCACTGCGTCTGCATCCACAGCTTCTATTGGAGCACTTTACACTGTCATAAATTAATAAAGATGCTGACAGACACGGTATTCTTGTCTGACTCAGGACACATCCTAATCTTCCTGGCCAGCCCTTCTGCCTAAATAAATTTCACCTAGACATCCAGTGTGTTATAAAAAAGAACATAGTAGAAATTCTAGGATGAGGATATTTCTGTTCACGGATTAAGATGAGATTCCAAGTCAGGATATGCAAAAATAATCGTTTTCCATAGGAAGGAACCAGTATTAGACAAAATGTTTGCCAACAAAAGCTCAGTTTCTGAGGCTGAATTTCCACTAAACGCTCAAAAAATACATAAAAGCTGCCCGGCCAGTAAACAGTGACTCAGTGCCCTTGGATTTAGTCCCTTTCATTTCCCATCTACTTACTTATCTCTAAGGTTCCACTTGCCAATTCTTTGAACTCCAAGACCAAATACTATCCATATGAAAGACCATCCTCTTCCAGAGAAGATAATAAGCTAAACACACAGATGACTGGTAGGGACTCTTTCAGACCTGCCAACTAGCAGGTCAGGCTTAAGGTCTAACACATGAGAGTATAAGAAATAGGTTGGCGATACAGTATGACAGTAACTCAGCCTTGACTCAAGACTTTTAAGATAACAGTCTCAAAGAGGCTTCTCAACCAGACATTGGACTGTATTTTCTCATGAAACCCAAAAGGAAAGCCATCATTTCCATCTGCATCATTAGCAGCATCTTCAAAAGCATCCTGCCAGCACCTGCCAACATAAACCTTTAAGCAGTGGTTCTCAACCTTCTGGGCCTTTAAATACAGTTCCTCATGTTGTGACCCAACCATAAAATTATTTTCATTGCTACTTCATAACTGTAATGTTGCTACTGTTATGAATCGTAATGTAAATATCTGATATGCAGGATGGTCTTAGGTGACCCCTGTGAAAGGGTTGTTTGACCGCCAAAGGGGTCGCGACCCACAGGTTGAGAACCGCTGCTTTGGAGCCTGTTCAAATCAAGCGAAAACTGCCCTTTGGGAATCTGTAACCCAAGATGGATTTGGTGTAAACCACGCATGGAGAGGTGAGAAAAGAAGAAAATTCTGAAACATTTTCTTCCCGGATTTCAGGATTTCAGGATGACATTTTCAAAGGCTCCTTGTGCATTGCTGGATTACCCTATTGAGTTATCTCCAGTGAACAGGCGAATTTGCACCAAGCAGCACTTGGAGAGGTGGTGAGTTACTGCTGCTCAGAAAAGGCCAAATAAACAGATTACTCATGAGACCCAAGGTCAATATCCAGTTTTTCCCAAAGTAGTCAGTGAACAGAAATTCAAAGGGCAGAATTCAACCCAAAGGCAGACCAAAGAAAAGGTCAGAGTGTATGCTGCTAATTTTCAAGGAGACTCCCTAACCCAGTGGTTGGCAAACTGCGGCTCGAGAGCCACATGCGGCTCTTTGGCCCCTTGAGTGTGGCTCTTACACAAAATACCACATGTGGGCGCGCACGAACAGTGCGATTGAAACTTTGTGGCCCATGCGCAGAAGTCGGTATTTTGTGGAAGAGCCACACTCAAGGGGCCAAAGAGCCGCATGTGGCTTGCAAACCGCAGTTTGCCGACCACTGCCCTAACCCATTTAGATTCATATTTTTGAGAAGATCCTTCTGCTTGTGTTTCAATATGAAGGAGAAATAACAAGCTGACCAATCAGGAAACCATGCAAGTCAACATTCAAATGATGATGCAAGAGAAATAATTCCAGATGTAGGTGCCACATTTAATTTTGAAAGATAAAATGGAATTTCCAATAGAGGATTTAATAGACATAGAATTTTCCAGGAAAATAAAGGCAGGATTTGGAAAAAAAAGTTCTAAGAATACTGATAAGGGGACACTGTCATGGTAGGTACCTCCATGGGATAGTATGGAAAAGGGGCAAAAGAAACGAGAGGCTACAGGGAAAAGAATAAGAACTGGTGTTAACCCTCTGTACCCAGGGGGAACTACAGGGGGAACAATTTGGGGTTCATAGAATGCTTTGAGTCTGACAGGCATTTCATGCTCCAAACCTGCATGTCTACCCCCAGCCCTCTGAGTTGTGAGCAGCATGAAGTTTTCAATATGGAGCATGTACTTTTCAGAACACATCAATGAAAAAGAGTCCATATACCAGTCCAGATCGTGACCGAATTATCTCGCTATGAAGACATTTCATTAGCTTAGGTGGCCTACCTTGACTCTACCAAATCCGTATTTAACCAAGGGAGGGGGATGGAAGAAGGAGTTTTTGTTTGTTTTTAAAAATTGATCTTTAATTGCTGGATGTACCTAAATTTGAAGAAGGGAAGGTAATGTATGTGTGTTACAAAGAATTCAGTGAAATGTTTTGCATTTTTGGTTAATGTTGTGATAGTCAAAGTGTTCTAAATCATTCCTGCTCTTGTGTTCCTTACAGTTGAACGGCAGGTACTAGATCTGCCAAGGATGAAGTCAGGTGGAAATCTGAGACTAGAGGTCAAGTAGAACTGGGAGCACAATACCTCCTCCTACCCCTGGGAAAGGAACCTGGAAATGCAGGTTGTCATGCAATAATACCCATAACTACATTCTTATAACACTGAGGTAAAGGTTAATCTCCATTTTTAGAAGAAAATCGGCTATAAGCTATTTACTGGAAAAAGGCATTGGTGTGTATATGGCCACAGAACCACCACCCTTCCACTCGAAGGACTAACCCAATCTTTGGATGCCTGGAATTCAAAGTGCTCTAAAAGTAACTAGTAAAAACCCATTTTAACCTAAAGCTGTCTCTGTTTCACAAATTAAGGCTGATGATTTGGGGGTGGGGGGGTGGGGATGAGGGGGAGAGGATAGAAGGGGTAAAGAAGAAACCAGTTGCTCTATAAGGTTGAACTACAGGGGGAACGGATTTGGGGTTCATAGAATGTTTGCGTCTGACAGGCATTTCATGCTCCAAACCTTCCTGCCCACCCCCAGCCCTTTCATGAAGTTTTCAATACGGAGCATGTACTTTTCAGAACACATCCATCAAAAGGAGTCCTGAAAAGCCTCAAAAACCCACATCCCCGCCTCCAATAAGCCAGAACTGTAGTATGAACTTGGGCAGAGAATAAGAGTTGAGGCTAATAGGGAGGAAATCTATTTGAGCAGTTTTTGGGAAATGGCCAAAATTTAAGAAGGGGGAGGGGAGAGGAAATAGTTTTCAAACATTATTAAAGCTACTGCTTTAAGATTGCATATCTTTATTTTTTTCCTGCCTCCGTGCAAAAGGACGTTAAAAGCTTTACTTCCGAAGCTTTGCGCTATACTATTTAAGGAATGGCAAATGGTTCCCACCCCCGGGGACCTCCGCCGGCCCAGCCTGGGAGCAAGGCAACGTCAAATCAAGGTCGAGCCCCACGGACAGCGCCAGCAGCCGCCGCCCCCAGCGCCAGCTCCGGCTCCGGCTCCAGGGTGGCTTCTAATGCCGAGCCGGGAGCCCAGCCAGGATCCGAGCCGGGATCCGGAAGAGTGTCTGCAGGCTTCCCGCACACCTCCGTCCGCCCAGACCTTGCCCCGGGCCGGTTCCAGGAGGGCAGGGCCAGGCCTGCGGTGCAGCTGGGCTCAGCC